TTAACACATGGGAAGATAGCAGTGAAGTAAAAATCAATCATATTGACATGAATCCATCCATAAAGTAATAAAAAAACATCTCATAAACGAAATCAATCCATCATCCCTAAGGTTATACAACAAGCTGAATATTCTAAGAGTTTAGCCATCCATAATAGAGAAAGCAGAATACTGAAAAGGGAGATGACACCTTGGCAGTTCTCTTTTTAATCCTTGCCTTCCTTCTCTGTTTGAGGCTTAGGAGCTTCTACATAGCGTATTTTCATAGATAAACCCTAATAGGCTTGTCTAAAACCATAGATGGTTGTTACTCCTTGAAAAATACCCTTTTAAAGACCTTCTCCAAAATGGCGACTAATTTTGTCAGTAGCCCTTTTGGTTATTTGGCCTCCATTTTGATTCACTACTGGTTTGGCTCGTATTGACTGCAGTTTCCATTTTTGGACCGTCGAAATGTGAGAAATACTCATATGTTGAAATTGGCGTCTGGGCTACCATTTTTTGTTTGGCAGACGATTATGGGTTCCATTTTGGGATGGCCTTGAAGCTCCATTTATGACTTCCATCTTAGGGATTTGAAGTCTCCAGCTCATAGAAGGTGATCCATTAAGGTGGTGTGGCCTGAAATCCCCGAAATGCCATCATATAAGGTGTAAAACATGCCACAAAAATGAGGTGATAAAAACATATATTTTAAATGTTATTAGATAATGTCACACTTGAAATTTGATTGTCCCCAAACAAACTATACTAAAAATCGTACAACTCACTAGACCTCTATGATGACATGTAACTTTCGCTCGTAGGTATTGGATCATAAGTAACTTACAAGATCAACCTTTGTAATTAGAGAACCATACCACATCATTGAGGTGTATATATTGTAAGGAAAATTTGGCCTACGTCCATCAACCATAAAATAATCAAAAGCAATCAAGTCTTGAAAACGCACAGGGTGAAGCTTTTTGCAAACTTTGTTTCGACTTTAAGCACATCTCTACCTTTTTTACGACGAGAGTTTTTCTCTATTTTTTATTTTGCTTTATGAGTTATCGTATTTAGTATAAGTGAGTTTTGTTTCTTACTACCAGTTATCGATACGTCCATCAACCATAAAATAATCAAAAGCAATCAAGTCTTGAAAACGCACAGGGTGAAGCTTTTTGCAAACTTTGTTTCGACTTTAAGCACATCTCTACCTTTTTTACGATGAGAGTTTTTCTCTATTTTTTATTTTGCTTTATGAGTTATCGTATTTAGTATAAGTGAGTTTTGTTTCTTACTACCAGTTATCGATACGTCTATCAACCATAAAATAATCAAAAGCAATCAAGTCTTGAAAACGCACAGGGTGAAGCTTTTTGCAAACTTTGTTTCGACTTTAAGCACATCTCTACCTTTTTACGACGAGAGTTTTTCTCTATTTTTATTTTGCTTTATGAGTTATCGTATTTAGTATAAGTGAGTTTTGTTTCTTACTACCAGTTATCGATGAAGAGAAATTTCTATGTCTTAGGACTCGTATAAGGGCTTCATTTAGTTCTTTATCCTAAGATCCTTTCGTCACAAACAAGTTTTGTGGATGTGCTTTCTGAGTTCTTTATTCAACCAAGCACTCTCAAAGCGTGGAACTGAAACTCGTCAAGTACAAGGGTTGGTTCATCCGGGGTTCACTGAGCGATTCCATGTCAAGATTGAGTTACTTAACAGCTCAAGGACATTTGTGCTCAATTTTAACTAAGAAATGGCAGACCTTAATTACCATATATCATTCGATAGGGTGATGTACCAATCAAATATTTGTATGAGGTACGGTAAGTACAGAGACCATCAACAAGCTTAGTTTATCAGTTCTTTTACGAATTGTCTACTGTGTTTGCAAGATTTGCTTGAGTTCTCGATTACTGAGTTCAATCAGTCCACTCCCTCGAAAGAGAGGCACCAAAGTGGGAAAAAATGTTATGTAGGAAATGTGCTATTGACCTGATGTTGTTTGTAGGGAGAGCTTGCGCTCCTGTCCATTTAGCAACATGGTTTACTGTCAGTAGGATGTACTGGTTTTCAAAGGATGATGGAAAAGGCCCTATGAATCCATACCCCACATATAGAACACTTCCACTAGAATAATCATATATTAAGGCATTTCATCCCGTCAGGTCACTCCACCTAAGCATTGACTGGCGTCGCAAGGCCGAGCATACATGTCACATTATATGAAGATGGTGGGCCAATTAGATCCACATTCAAGACTTTTTGTGCAGTCCGGACGCCACTTAGTGACCCCCGACTGGTCCTTCATGGCATTGGCGTTTTATGTCCCTTGCTTTGGCCAGGGAGACATAACGTCAGTTGATGTTATCAAGACCTACTTGAAAGAGGTATGGGTCATCCCAGAAATGAGATTTGGCTTTCTTACAAAAAAAAATTCTTGGAAGGTAATGTATGATGGTAAGGTCTCGGTTGCTAGATAATAAGCAGTATCAATGAACTAGGGACCTTATACCTTTTCTACAATAGCAAGAAAAATTTGCTCATCTAAGACGGAGTCATTAATCCCAACTGGGTCTGTTAGGGCTTTAGCCGCCTAATCTTTTTTTTTTGGTCGAATTAGCCGCCTAATCTAATCAGGAGAGATGATCGACATCCTTGTTCTTGGCTCCCTTTTTATCTTTGATCTCTATATCAAATTCTTCGAGTAGGAGAACCCAATTGATGAACTGCGATTTAGGGTCGGGAAGTTAGCGTTCAACAAAAATTATCATAATTCTCGATGATCGGTGTTAACTATCATGTGAGATAACAATGGGTAAGATCATAATTTTTCAATGATGGACTCTAGGGCCGACAACTCATTCTCGTTGATGGTGTTGTTTTTCTAGGCATAGTTAAGAGTGCGATTAGCAATATATAATTAAGATGAAATTGCTTATCCTTCTGCTGCCCTAGTACTTTCCTGATGGCGTAATTGCTAGGATCACAAATGAGCTCAAATGGTAATGACCAATCGGGTGACATTAAGAATGGAGCCTGAGTAAGTCGATGCATAAGGAATTGAACAAGAGCTTACAAATTTGGCCAAATTCGAACACCGGGTCCTTTTCTATGAATTTGTTTAGTGGATGATTTTTTTTTAGAAATTATTGATGAATCGTATGCAGAAGCCGGTATGGCTTAAGAAGATTTTTATAGATTTGATAGAAGTGGGTGGCGGTAGATTAGAAAACGTTTCAATTTTTGGTATCACTTCGATTCCCTCTCCCTCAGGCTTGCAGTCTTTTCTTTTGACTCTTTTCCCAACTTAATGCCAAATGAGATTTCTCACAACGAACGAGGACTTTTTCTAAGTTAACTAGGCATTATGAGAAGGACTCCCTGTAGACTAAGTCATCCTTGAATACCTCCCCCACATCTTTTAGAAGATCGATGAAAATGGCGGTCATGTCGTGCTAGAATTTAGCAGGGGCATTGCACAGCCTGAATGGTATCCGACGAAGCGCTAATATACAATAGGGACATGCAAACATAGTTTTTTCTTGATCAACTAGATCGATGGGGACCAGGAAATAGCCAGAGATTTCGTCTAATAAGTAGTACTACTCGTGTACTACTAATCTTTACAGAATATGATCAATGACGATGTAACGTAAAGTAATTTTTTCGAGTGGCATCATTTAGTTTTCTGTAGCCAATACACACTTGCCACTCTATGATTATTTGAGTAAGATTAAAGATCTTCATTCTCGTTAGTTACTACAATTATATCCCCTTCTTGGAGACCACCTGTACAGGACTTACCCAAGGGTTGTCTAAGATGGGGTATATGATTCATGCATCCAGTAGTTTGAGAACCTCATTTTTTACGACTTCCTTCATGTGATGATTTAGTTGTCTTTGAGTCTGCACTACTAGCTTATACTCATCCCCCAATAGGGATCTTATGAATGCAACATGAGAGATCTATCCCTTGGATGTCATTGATTTTCCATGTCGTAGCTCTCTTGTGTTTCTGGAGTGAAGTTAACAAACACTCTTACTAATTGGGATCTTAGAGGAGCTCATTATCACGGGTAGTTTGAAATCTTCATCTAGATAAGCATATTCAAGATGTGTGGGTAATTGTTTGAGCTCCAAAGTAGGAGGCTCCTCATATGAGGCTTAAGGGTAGGAATGGCTAGAGTTTTTGCCAACTCTTCTCCTCCTTTGGTGCATCACCTTCACCTTCCAAATATTCTTGTTGCTCTTCTTGTTCCAATTCGTCTCCTTCTCCCCTGAAACCATAAACCATGCATATTTCAAGAGGGTTCTCAGAGAAACATGTTGTTACAGAAGTTAATGGCTCTATGATATTATCATGTGCATTATCGTTATTATTCTCATCAATATGAGCGTGATGCATCGCCCTTCCATTTTGAAGGTGACACTTGTAGATCCTACCTGGAATAGTGAGCTTCCCCCATTTGTGTCGACTAATGGTTGTGTTGTTGCTAATAATTGTCACCAATTAAGGTAGTTCTAGATTCATTGACATCCATCACAACAAAATCGGCCATAATTGGAAATGATCCTATGCCTACGGATACAAGCCTATCCAATAACTTGGTTTTAATATCGTTAAACCAGAGTACACAAAAAAAAAAAAAGAAAAATCAAAGAACACATAAGATAAGTAGACGAAAAATTCTAACGTAACAAAACAAACAATTCGATTGAATGGCATCACTAGATCAAATGAAGTGGATGACGCCAGGAGTGATAAGCATGTTGATACCTTTGATTCTTTAAGCTACTCGATTCCACGAAATAACTAAAAAGTTAAAAGATCTGAAATTCCGCTCAAAACCAAAGAAAATACCATTAACTAAACTTGGTGTATTTAAGAAATGTCACTTAAATTCGTAAGTCTTAGATCCTCTATTTATAGAGGTTACAAATAATAAAAATAAGGGCTAATACCACTAGGAAACCCGAACTATTAACTTTGTGCCATTTGTGTCCTAAAGTATTCGATATGACATTTATGTCCTAAACTATTTCACCATTAAAGTTGACCGGCGTTGACCGTTAGTTTTTAATAGAAAATCCAGTAAGCGCTGATGTGGCATTTGAAGTGGAATTTATAATATTAATTTATAATTATTTTTCATATAAAAAAAGAAAATTACAAAATTACAAAAATCCACTAGGAAACCCTTCCTCTTCCCTTCTTCCTCCTCGACGACGGTGGATTCCCACAGTTTGTCTTAGATCCTCTATTTATAGAGGTTACAAATAATAAAAATAAGGGCTAATACCACTAGGAAACCCGAACTATTAACTTTGTGCCATTTGTGTCCTAAAGTATTCGATATGACATTTATGTCCTAAACTATTTCACCGTTAAAGTTGACCGGCGTTGACCGTTAGTTTTTAACAGAAAATCCAGTAAGCGCTGATGTGGCATTTGAAGTGGAATTTATAATATTAATTTATAATTATTTTTCATATAAAAAAAAGAAAATTACAAAAATCCACTAGGAAACCCTTCCTCTTCCCTTCTTCCTCCTCGACGACGGTGGATTCCCACAGTTTGTCGCCGATTTGTCTTCTCCGTCGGCGGTCAACCTTAAGGGTGCAACCGGCCATCTACGCAGTCATCTATTGAGCCGCCGCTTCGTTGCCTCCAAAATCCCTTGCTTTCCCTGATTCGACGGACCCATCTTCAAGCATCACCTTTTAGAGAGCTGCCTTCTTAAGCGAAGCTTCCTCGTTGCTCTAGATTTCTCGATCGAGCGGAGGTTGACGATGGAGGGAAAGGAATTGGAAATCGTTGAACGAGGTGGGTTCAGACACGACAGAAATTAATTTCCCCTTTCTTTCTCCACCTCCCACCACCCGTAGCCATCGTCAGTAGGACCCTTTCTTCTCTTTTCTACTCGAAAACAGAACCCCAAATAGAGTTCTCTAGTTCATCCAAAATCCCTAGAAGAAATAACCCATGTTCGAACAAGAAGAGCAGCAGGGGATTGGCAGCAGCAAATCGATCTCGTATCTTCCTTCTTCATTGTGGGAAGAGAAGGAAGAAGGTGAATCCGTCGAGGAGGAATGAGCGAATCGGCCAGGGGTTGGAGGTGGTTTACGCCGATGGTGACGCGCGGCGATGATTTCGCCGAATCCGATTGATGGCTGGCCATTGGGTTCCTTGAAATCGAAAGCAGGTGTGTTGGGGGAGTGGTGTTGGCTGGGGATGGTGTCGGCAGGGTGGGTGGGATGAAGCGCGTCCCTCACCTGCTACCGACTCATCCCTTCCCCGTTGGGGGTCGATTCGATCAAACGAAGGAAACTGAAAATCAGAGATGAGATCAATCGATTGCTCTCAACAGCTTCTCCCAAGCAATCCACGCGCAATAGCCGAGATGAGTCGACAGAAAGCGAAGCTAGGAGTCCACCTCGAGGAAGAAAGAGTATGCCGTAGGTGGCGGCGATGGCGTAGGAGGAGGCGGAAGCAGCGGCGGCGATGGAGAGAAGGAAGGGAGAGGTAATCGGGGGAGGGGAGGTGAAGAGACGAAGGAAAATGTTCGAATCTGCAGAGGGAGGGTTAATTGAGTACATTTTCTAATTTTTTTTGGTTAACATTTTTTATTTTTTATAACAATATATTATTTTTTTATTTATGATTTAATTTTTAATTAAAAATATGAGGTGTCATTGACGTGGCATCTACGTGGCTGCCACGTCAACAAAAGTCAATTTTAAAGTTGACTTCCGTTTGGTCAACCGTTATCTATAACGGTCAACGGGTTTCCCAGTGGTATTAGCCCTAAAAATAACATTCTAATGATATATAAACAAATCCCAAACCAATTAAAAACTTAATACTATTTTTAGAAAGACTAAAAATACTAATTGAACTTCTTAATAACCAAATAAAATAATTAAACAAACTAAACTCCAATTGCACAACTGACAAATAGCTTTGTGTGTTTTCCTTCTCCTTCTTCTTTGCGGGCACCTATTTCATCTCTTTCACATGTTCCTTTTCTTTTCAGATGCGGAACCTAACTCCTTCTGTTAATCCTCGATGTACTACTTTCCTTCCGCAAATAACAGAAGCCACTAGACCACTAACTAACAATACACCATGCAAGCTCGGGTGATACCATTTGTTAGGAGCAGTTATGATGCGTAACTTTGAGGTGCACAACCATGCATAACCTGTCACATCAGCGTAACTTCATCATTTATGAAGAGTTTTAATATTTTCTCCTCTAAATTTTAACGGCCTATATCTCTTTCGTTTAAAGTTATAATTTAAATTTTTTGCACAGATGAATCAGTTAAACTGTGCTCTTCCAAATGATATTCACTTTGATATATTTTTGGAATAAAAATTTTTGAGGCATCTAGTTTTAGTCTATAACATGGTGGTATTGTTTGGTATTATATAAGAGCATACCACATGTTATGGAAGTGTATTGTGGTGGTAATAAACCTACTAGTAGGAATATACTAACTGACATTTACAACTTTCAACATTGTGTACCACAAGATACCAACCCCATACCAGGGTGGCATGGGATGGTATTTTTTGGTCATTTATTCCCCCCCCCCCCAAATTCGTAGCTCCGATAGATCATGATGAACTCTTTTCTTCTGTGCAAAAAATTTCAAAATCAACTTCAAAACGAAGGAGATACCATATGATATCCAGTTGGTAACGAGTGTTATGAGTGGCATAAACAAAACCTCGAAATATATTGAAAATGAATCTCATTTTGTAGAGCACAATGAATGCGTTCCAACTGTCCAAAACAATTGTAATCCTAGTTAGAACAAAAAAGATAAGCGCCTAAAAAGTTTGGAAAAACAAAAAAGACTTTAATTGCCAACCCTTAAATGTGGGGACCACTTAAAAGGAAGGGACCATATTTAGTTATGCAAAGATATGCACCATAGGGTTATTAACCCTATCCGTAGCCCCTTTTGTCTCTCGATTATTGATTAGCCACCCCAAATTATTGAGATCTATTCTTGCAATAATAATAACCCAACCACCTTTAATGAATATTTCGTCATCCACACATTTTGTGTGGGATCATTTTTTGTCTCCATATATCTTTATGTTATAACCCATATGCTTTTTACTTCATGGGTCGAATTGAAGATAAACAAGATGCATCGTTAGATTTGAATTTGTCAATCACACCTACAAACTTGTAAGCATTACTTGTAGAGTCATTTCACTCATCTTAAATGCTCTCAATCCTCTTTGAACCTTTTAATTCATTTCTTAGGCCATGGTCCATGTGAAAGAAAATATTATACCTTGAATAACATCATGATGTGGGGTGGGATGGGCGTGGTCACATCATTTCCTTTCACTTAAAAACGGTTTTTCCTTCAAAATACGTATTTGTTGTAATCTTATCATTGTCGAATCATGATCTTACCACTATAGCATTAGCAAGAATGACTGCACAATATACCACTATGATATCATTGCATTATCACTATGGTATCATGATAATATCATGATATTACAGTGGTGGTATGATGTCATTAAATTATTATCCAATATACAACATAGTAGCAATAACATACCACTATGATATGGTGATATTATCAATATCATCTCACTAGCCATATTATGATCTTACCACTATGATAACATTATAACATCATTATATCACTATTCATGATGATATAGAGATATAATAGTGATAATATGAAGTGAAATTCTTTTGTTCAAAAAATCTTTGAAAATGAATATTATCTTGCAGAGGAAAAAAAATTCTGATATTTCTACTCAAATAATTTTCATATCCAACATAAAACATATAAAATATGATCCTTCTGGATTTTCATATGAAAGTGCTCTAACAGTACACTAGTAATTCTGCAGCAACCTCTAAATATTCGATTAGCTATTCGAAACAATCCGATTAGATCTCCCATAAATTCATTATTTCCCTCCTCATCCCTTTTATGATATGAACAATTAGATATCTCCTTCCCAAATTACAATCATTACATTTTTCAGCTCCAAAAAACAATCATTACATTTTTCTATCGGATTTTATATAATAGCCTAACCCGATTTATTCTTCTCCTTGTTCCCTTTTCCATTCTTGATGTCGATGAAAAGTTATGGAGATAACGTTAAGGAAAAAGAATAAATTAAATATTGAAATCAACAATAAAACTTGCTAAGACACGGGTCAATGTAAAAACTGTTGTACGCTATGGAGATGTTTACTTTGGAAACCAATGGATCGTCTTTCACACATTCCATCGGATCTGGCAACAAATGATGACCGGTTGGCTCAAGGCCTCTTCTAAGCCAGTAGTTCAAAATGGCCATTTCTAGTTTTCTCACCTGCAAAAGCATTTCTTTGTAAGCATACATTGAGTTCGAGTAATTGGACAGTATGCATGAAATACCTCTTCCAACTATACATGTGTAGAAGTTCTTCCATATGCAAAACACTTGTATACGAACTGCATTTGAACTAATGTCAATATGTCTTTTCTAACATATAAAATCCAGTCCAACTAACAAACAAATTATTTTCCAACTTTGAGAAACTTGTCCTTGTCATCTATGTTGGAAAATTCAACTCAAATGCAGGCATGTGAATAACAGTTCTTCTTCTGAGCGAAAGCTAAGTGACACTTGAGAGTCACAGTGAACAATAAAAAGTAGTTTATGCCCAAGGTATAGCCAAAAAGCAAGTCTGTTGAATAGAGAAGGAAACCTAAATGCAAATGCATGCTTTTGAGAATTGAAACATCCTAGTGGCCGATTGATTCTCCAAGTTACCTTGAAGGAACAAAGTGAAATAAATCTTTTCGTTTTATGTGTAAACATAACAATTAGAGACACCTTGCAACCATATCATGATAACAAACTTGGGTTTAATTCACAGCCTAGTTCTCATTCTTCTATTTGATGAGTTCCCAAACATAAAACACAAAAGAGTCAACAGAAGAACAACTAACCTGCCTGACGATGAAAGGCTCCTCTACCGTACTTAGTGGCTTTGTTAATACTGTAAGATAGTCGTTATGATTCCCGTAAACAATATATGTGAAGGGTCTATCTCCCACCTATGAACAAAAACATGAAAAGTCCATCTATACTTGAGGTTCCCAGGTAATCCATAAAGAAAGCACATAATGATGCGGATAGCTGCTGGTTAGTACCGTGATAAATTGTGAGGATGTACAACCGAAATGCTTTTTGATTTCTTCAGCAGTTCCCGCTGGTTTCTTTACTCCTATATTTGAAAGCATGGACGCACATATCAATACCGCAGGCTTACAAAAACTTGTGCTGTTAAACAAATGCTGACTGACAATCAGAGGAGGCCATACTATGCCTAACGACTTTGATTCCAATGTCCCTTTCAAGTGCCCTGGGAGGAAACACCCAATCATCAAGCAAGAATATAGTTATTCTTCCACAGAGAACAGAAGATCAAAATTACCAGCAGAGTTGCTAAACACAGCAATGTCCTTCCTGAAAACGGATTTACACTCCTCCATGGATGACCCAAGAGGTGCCCAAAGAGCCAAAGAGTAAGGCAGGGTAATCATGTTATCCTTGTCGAAAACCACATCTTTGAAACCATGCTTACGGAGTCCAACCCAATCAATGTACCTAATATCGGGCGCCGCCATGTGAGGCAGGGCTAAATGCTGATCTCTGAGGAGAACCCTCGCCGCGGAAACAATCCCTTCAAAGTTAATTCGCTTCCCAAATGACGATCTCAATTCAGGCCACCACATGTGTGTGAAAAGTTCTGTGTGCACCCCAAGCTCGAACTCGTCAATATTTGCTCCCCCTCTGCCGGGTTTTGGCAAACGAACGCGGTAAGTCCAACGGAAGAGTAGAATTCGTCCAACATTGAGGAGGAGTTGAGGTCGATGGGGAGACGATCTGCTGCCGACCCTGTTGCTTTGAGACAGGCTCGACTGTTGGGTGCTGCGGTTGTTGGTGAGGGAGCAGAGCTTTCTGTACGGTTTCCCGCGCTGGGGAAGGGACAAGGGTTTTAATTTAGGACTGCGTCTGAAATCAATGAGAATGGATGGGTTGGGGCAATGGGAATCAGGGCGAAGGACTGTAGAGGCGGACTGCATTTCCAAACCCAACGTCACTGTTAATGTGGGTTTTGGGATACCGGATACATGTTTTGGTGGAATGGAATGGACTATGGAGGCAACAATGTTGTCAACCGATTTATATCTTCTTTTTTTTTTTTTTTTTTTTTAAAGATCAAACGGTTTGCATCGTTGTTCAGGTTTAACATGTGGTATGATTAGATCAGTGATATAATATGTTTTGTAAGTTTGATAATTGTTAAAAATTATTAAATGTCAAATTAATTTAAGCATATATAAAACATATTTGAAAAAAATTGACTTACAGTCTATATTGATATTTAAATACAAAATTTAACGTAACGCCCAAACTTTTATACTTGAATCCAACAAACAACATCAACATTTACCTTTTAAATTCATGAAATAAATATAAATTATTTTTTATTTATTAAATTCATTAAAACGACATCATTTTATTAATAAGTTGAATATTGATCATGACAGTCATATTAGTGATATTCAGGCTAGTTTCAAGATTGGTTAAATCAACCAACATTCCACTAGCGTCAGAACCATGGAGGCAATTTGATTCAAGTTCCGAAATCCGGAGGACCACAAGATTATGGGATTTAGCCTTTGGGAGGATTTCGACCAAGGTTATCAAATTGATTTATGTTGTGATGTCGGTTTGACAATTCGTATGGTCTGACCGGTGGTACAAACGGTTTATGTCAGTTGACTTGCTACTATACTACACTATTCCCAATCGATGGCAAGTATAATCCACGACCGGGTGTAGAATATGGCAAATATTTAAATTTCAACCCGAGACTATCCATGTACCCCTACTTTAATCGTTTAAAATGTTATCTAGCGAACAATTTGGATTTAAAGCTAAAGAACTACAGTTGAAAGCAAGCAAAGAAAATAAATTGTGATGAATTCGGTGTGAGAAAACTTCACCCGGGTTTTTCTCCATCCTAGTCTTGTGTCAAGGTCAACCGAATGGAACTCTTACTCAATAGTTTAGTCAATGGTGCAACAATCTTTGAGAAACCCCCTAGAAATCGCTGATAGTAACCTGCCATGACAAGAAAACTTCTTAACTCCGACACATCTTTTGGTGGAGTCCAACTCACCACTGCATCTACCTTTTTCTGATCCACCCAAACCTCTCTTCCATAAATTACATGTCCCAAAAAATATTACCTCCTTCTACCAAAACTCACATATTTAGAATTTTGCATATAATTGTTTCTCCCTGAGAATTTGAAACATAATTATAAGGTGAGTTTTGTGCTCCTCTTAGCTCTTAGAATATATGAGAATATCATCTATAAACACAATCACAAACTTATCAAGATATTTGTGGAAAACTCTATTAATAAGAGCCATAAATACCTCTGGCGCATTAGTGAGTCCAAAAGGCATTAGCAGGAACTCGTAATGCCCATATATGGTTCTAAAAACTGTCTTTGAGGTTGATACATCTACCACTTTCAGTTGATGGTATCCTGACCTCAATCGATCTTAGAAATGACTGATGCACCCTGCAATGGATCAAAAAAGCCATCTATTCTTGGAAGGGATAACGATTCTCCACTGTCGCTTTATTCAACCTCCAGTAGTCGATGCATATTCTCATGTAGCCATCTTTCTTCTTGACAAACAAAACCAGTGCACCACATGGTGAGATGCTAGGTTGAATAAACCTCTTGTCTAAAAAATCTTGCAATTGTTCTTTAAACTCCTTCAGCCTAATTGGTGCCATTCAATACGGTGCCATTGAAATTGGTGTTGTGCCATGTACCAGTTCAATATCAAACTCCACTTCCCTTTCTTGTGGAACGCCGGGAAGTTCTTCGGGAAATACAGAAGGAAACTCCCTTACTACCTCTACATCCTCAAGCTTCTTCTCATTAACAATAATCACTTGAGCAAGAAAGACTCCAGAACCTTCCTTCACGAATCGAAAAGCTTCTAGGGTAGAAAGAAATCTTTGAGTCTCCTTTTTCTTAATGCCTCAGAATACAACAAGACCTTTATCTGGTGTGTTGAATAACACCTCATTCTTTTGGCAATCCACAACAGCTCCATGTGTTTCCAGAAAGTCCATTCCAAGGTGACACGCTAAAACACAACACCAAACTGCGAACAAGTGTAATCGCAGTCCGGAAATGCAGTAACAGGCAAGCTCTAATTGTCAACCCGGGATCTAGATCTAGTGCCTACTCCGTGAATATCTATTATCTAGCCAACTAAGTCAAGTGATTGTTGATTTAAGTAAAAGCAATAAGAAAGCAGGAAATGATTCGGTTTTCTAAAGCAAAGGAAGAGTCACTCGGGAATGAGTCCCCCTAGCTCCTTAGTTAGGTCTCAGTTGTAATTACCCTGGGTTGATTAACTGTTGATTAAACTGCGGAAGATCCGACAGTAGTTTGGAATCTCTTAAGCTGACCAAGCCCTCTCACGCAGGCTAACCGGCAGGCCACTAACCTTCACCGAGATAGACTGCTGAGGCAATAAGCACAAAAATCCACTACTGGAATTGGGTTCCAGTACAAAGAAGTAGATTGATTAACTCTCGTATAACCAATCTACCACTACCGATTGATGAAGCTCTAACAACCTAATCAGATTCTATCTATCTCAGGTTGCAGCAGAAATCAAGAAAAGATGATCAGACTTCAATTGACTCAATGAATCATGCATCAATCGATTAAAATCAAACAATATAACAATCCCAAGTCATTACAATCAAGATCCCTAACACATGGAACTATGGTTCTTCATACCCAAGTGAGAGAAAGTTCTACTCCATAGAGAGAGAGAGAGGGAAACATAATACAAAGCAGTCATACTCATAACAATGGGAAGAATCTGCTCTGGGATGTCAATCTTCACTCCTTGGGATGCAATCTGGGCTTCAATGGTGAGAAATCCACTCCAAATAGCTCATAGGGTTTGTCCTTCGCACTTTCTCTCTCTAAAACTATGTTTTTGCTCCAAAAAGTCGAACCCTTCTCCTTTGGCTCGAAATTGGGTTAAAACCCGAAAATTCCCGACCACACGGCCAGGCCACACGGTCGTGTGGAAATTCCAGCTGCCCGTGTGGCTCTCAAAACATCGCGTTTCGATTAAGTGACTTCCAGGCATGCTGCACGGCCAGGGACACACGGTCGTGTGGATTTCCAGGCTGCCCGTGTGAGCTCCCTGGACTTTTCACACGGCCACAAGTGGTCCCCTACACGGCCAGTGTGGCTTTCCCATGCAAAGTGGTGCCAGACGGCCAAGTCACACGGCCGTGTGCGATTTTAGGTGTGCCCATGTGGCTTCCTCAGCTTCTCGCCAAACGTCTAATCTTCGTCCAATCGACCCCAAACTCGTTCCCAAACCTTCATTCACGTACTAGGACCTGAAATATCACAAAAAAGAACAACCTATCATGAAATCGGCCTAAAACACGAGAAATAAGACTCAAACGGTACAAGAATGGTGGACAAAAACATGTGTATATATCAAGTCATCAAATTCCCCCACACTTAACTGTTTGCTTGTCCCCAAGCAAACCAAGTCAGATACAAAGTAAGCTCACATATTTCAATCATACCAACATTGGGGACAAATCGTATAGGCACAGAACACGTGAATCGTATTGGCTTTTAAACATCAACACATGAACAACTTCAACAACAACCTGGACAACCACCACAGAGGACATTCGAGTGCAGCAAAATCAGGTAAAGGAGGAGTCTCCCTTCTATGCATCAACCAACATAGACTTGACTCAACCACTTACTCAAGACAGTCAGCTCATGCACAAAACTCAAGATATCAGAATTGAGACTGAGCAATCTAGGTCCTCACCGGGGTAAAGAGTATAGAGAATATGAGAAAATGAATCGCTCACTCTCGACCAGTGGGGTCAGGACAATTTGATGCGAAAATGTGCATGCTTATTCTCTCAATCCCTAACGTCTCTTCACCATGAAGGCAACCTCTAAATGTTAGAGTTCACATATGGGGTGTCACCACTAACTAATCCGAAGGTCTTAGACACAGGTTCAGATGACTAGCTAGGGTCTTGGACATGGGGAAAATGCCTTTTAGGTGGTGGAAGTATTCATAGCACAAGGTTCCACAGTTCCAAACCCAACACATTCACAACCAATCAAACCAGTACTTTCTTTCTGCCATTATGCATTACTCAAATTCTCTAGAGCACAAGAGCGAAGGAGGTCACATAAATGTTAGTATTTCCAAGCCAGACTGCTAAGAAACACTACTTAATGAGCATGATTCAGAATTTCGGGCAGTGGCTCTCTTTTCCTTTCATTCATTTTTTCTCTTTTTTTTCTTCATTTTATTTTTCATTTCTTGAGAGAACCACCACCTCTACACATTTTTCAAACACATGCCCAACTCTTAAGCATTACCTCCAACCCTCACATTAAATTTAACAGAAACAACAGAGAACATGCAAAAACCACTATGTGGAACCTTCTAAGAGATGCAAAAGGGTGATTTTCCATTGTAGACCGAAAGAAAGAAAAGTACACGGCTCAAAGGGGCTGACTAGGGGGTATGACACACCAGGACAGTCAATTTGGTAGTGGGCTAATCCTATGCCTCCATCATCTTAGCTAGTGACAACGTGAATGCTACACATCATGGAAGAGGGAACTATCGCACAAGAAAGAAATGAGCATACTCAAATCTCACATGGCTACCTATATGCTCTATCTCTCCTTCTGATTCCTTGAACTAGATGCATAAACGACTGTCAAGAGCAAGTGATCAATCCAAGTAATAGTTGGTAATCAAACAGTTGAAAAACTGAACCTCTACACAATTCTACTACACATCTCAGTCATCATCATAGGTTGTCCTAGTTACAATCAAGCTGTCATGCATCAATTCAAAAGCCATTCGATTCACCAATCAAATCCACAGTGCCAATATGATCATGCAAACATCAGTACTTGGAGCCCTCAAATCTCTAGATTTGGACAGCGGACTAGGCTCCAAGCACACAAACTCATTTAGCAGTCAACGACAGATAAACACCCCCCTCCCCACACTTAAGCACGACATTGCCCTCAATGGATCAGAAGTAAAGACAAGGGGAAACGATGTTACCGGAAATACGGACTGTCGGGGGACTGGAAATTGGACCAGTCAGCAGGGCTAGAGTCATCAAAACACACTGGGTGATAAAATAATAGTTCCAAGTGGACTAACCAAAAAAACAAACCTTGGTGGGGTTGCCTCCCCACAAGCTTCTTTACCGTCGTTTAGCTGGACGCCAGTAGGGTGGATGCTCAGAGAGGTGAAGGAACATGTAACTTCAAGAGCGGATCCACATCGCTCTTGAGGTACAACTTCAGGTGGTGGCCATGCACTCGACGAGTGTGACCACCAGCACTCGTCAACTCAACCTGGCCATCCGGCAGGATGCAAGCGAGTGAATACTCGGATGGCCAAGGCGGTCGAGGCTTAGGAGCTGGGACCAGCTCATAGTGGTCTCTTGCTTCCTTTTTCAGCAGGCTTAGCTACCTGCAGTTTCGGCCGCCACTCCTCCTTGATCTTTTCCTTTGGTGACAGAGTGGAAGGGGGTGGCGGCGAAGGTATGGGAGGGGGGTCCTGCAAAATGGAGAGCACAAAAAGATACACGACAGACTCGTGCTCCTGGTGAGAAACAGCATGCAAAGGCGATGAAGCAGAGAGAGTATTAGCAATGGAAAATGTTATTCGCTCCTCGCCATCCCTTAAGACTAAGGTCCCATCATGTACATCTATAAGAGCATTGGCGGTGGCCAGGAAAGACCTTCCCAGTATAAGGGGCACTTCTGTGTCCTCATTGATGTCCAAGATAACAAAATCCACATGATAAAAGAATCTGCCAACCTTAACCAGAAAGTCTTCCACTATGCCCCTAGGATGAACTATAGATCGGTCAGCTAGTTGAATACTCATCCAAGTTGCACTGGGTTCACCTAGGCCTAGTTTCTTGAACAATTTATATGGTATCACATTAATACTAGCACCTAGATCCGCCAAGGACCTCTCTACATGCAATTTACCTATAGAGCACGGGATAGTAAAACTACTTGGGTCCTTTTGCTTCTGCGGAAGCTTGTTCTGCAGAATGGCCGAGCACTCCTCGCTGAGTTCCAAAGTGGCTAGCTCGCTCTGCCTCCGCTTCTTCGAGAGAAGCTCCTTCAGGAACTTCGCATACTTAGGCATCTGAGATAGTGCCTCCATGAAGGGCACTTGAACATGCAGCTTCCTAAGCATGGACGAGAAGTTGCCAAACTCTGCCTCTAGCCTGTCTTTGTGAATCCTGGTGGGAAAAGGGAGCTTAGGCTTATATTCAGACACTACAGGTTGTGGCTTTGGAGCTTGATCCTCTGGCTCCTTTTCCATCACTAGGTCTTCTTCCGGCTTAGGGGTGATCTGGGTCACCTTCTTGGCACTCTTCTGGGGTGCATCCGCAGTCACAGTCCCACTTCTCAGCATAATGGCATGCAACCCCTCCTTATGATTTCTGGGATTCGGCAAGGGATGGCCAGGAAGTGTGCCAGCCGGTCTGGAAGCAAGGGCATCTGCCAGGTGCCCCATCTTGATGTCCATATCCTGCAAGAGTGTCTGCTGGTTTCTCTGGCCAACTTCAATCTCCATGAATTTGCATGCAGCCACTTCCATGAATTGCTCCAATTTATTGAACTTTTGGGTACTAGTGCTCGCCAAGGTAGTCACGAGATCCCTCAGTTCTGACACGGGATCGCCCGGTGTTGGGACTAATGGAGGTGCACCATGTTGCTGGTACTGCTGCTGTGGAGGCTGTTGAAGAGCCTACCCTTGTCTGGGCTGATAAAGTGGTTGCTGATGCTGAATTTGGCCTGGGCGAGGCTGGTATGGCTGCCTCTGGTTCGGAAAACTATCTGCAGGAGCTTGGAAGCCAGGTGGCTTCGGATTGCTGTTGCCACTCTAGGAGAAATTTGGATGCTGGCGCCATCCCTCATTGTAGGTGTTACTGTATGGGTCGTTGACTCGTTGCGACAGACATTGTTGATGAAGTTCACCTGCTCCTAGGGTGTACTGGACTCACACATGGCCTGACAGTCCTCTACAGTATGATGGGTGCTCTCGCACCACTGGCTACGCATTGCCGGCTGCTGCCCTGTCCCCGGAACCATCCCATTCCGATCGATGGCTGAGACTAGTTTAGACACAACCTGCACCAAGTCAGAAGAGTGGGTGCCCACAACATGTACACCTCGGCTTGGTGCTCGTCTTGATCTCCTCGCAGTTCCCCAGTCATAGCCCTACTCTGCCATCTCTTTAAAAAGTTGATTCAGCTGTGGCGGTGTTTTGGTGAGCATATTCCCGCCACAGACCGAGTCAATCAGCTGCTTGTCTTCCGGGAAGAGGGCATGGTAGAAGGTGCACACCTTGAAGGCGTCAGTAAAACCATGGTTGGGACACTTGAGGAAGAGACTGGTATATCTCTCCCAAGCATCCCTGATGGTCTCATCTTCATCCTGAGCAAAGTGGGTAATTTGCTTCTGCAGGTCTGCCGTCTTGGACGGAGGATGGTAGCGAGTGAGGAGCTTGTCCTCCAGGTTGGCGAACGTGGTGATCAAACCTGGAGGTCGAGTGTCTAGCCACTCCTTGGCGTGCCCCCTCCAGAGTAAACGGGAAGTACCTCAGCTGGATTGCATCGGCTGGGACCCCATTGATCTTAATTCCATCGATGAGCTCGTGGAATCGCCTTAGATGTGATCAGGGGCACTCTCCCTCTTTGCCACGAAATACTATCGAGCCGCGCAACATAGTGATGACCGAGGTGCTCACCTCAAAGTTGTTGGCTGGTACATGAGGGTGTGGAATGGGCGACCTCATGTCCGCGGCTCTGACGGTCCAGTAATATCCCATGGTCTGCTCCTCGAGAAGGACCACATCATGGTCCTGTGGGTCACCCATCTCTTCTTCGTCGGTGATTTGCAGCTATGCTAGAGCCTCCTCCGCAGCCAGTCGCGCCTTTAGAGCCCGCTTGAAGTTCCTACAGGTTCGTTCAAGCTCCTGGTCTAATGGTAGTAAATCTCCTGACTGGCTACGGGTCATGCACTACCTGCACACAATCAGCAAAAGCAACCTGTGAAGGCACACAGATGGAAGAGAGAATGCAGTAAAGAAAAGGCTAGAGTAACAAACTTTCAAGTTTCTCCAATAACCTAGAGGGACCCAAGCAACGGCGCCAAAAACTTGACACGCTAAAACACAACACCAAACTGCGACCAAGTGTAATCGCAGTCCGGAAATGCAGTAACATGCAAGCTCTAATTGTCAACCCGGGGTCTAGATCTACTGCCTACTCCGTGAATATATATTATCTAGACAACTAAGTCAAGTGATTGTTGATTTAAGTAAAAGCAATAAGAAAGCAGGAAATAATTCGGTTTTCTAAAGCAAAGGAAGAGTCACTCGGAAATGAGTCCCCCTAGCTCCTTAGTTAGGTCTCAGTTGTAATTACCCTGGGTTGATTAACTGTTGATTAAACTGCGGAAGATCCGACAGTAGCTTGGAATCTCTTAAGCTGACCAAGCCCTCTCACGCAGGCTAACCGGTAGGCCACTAACCTTCACCGGGATAGACTGTTGAGGCAATAAGCCCAGAACTCCACTACTGGAATCGGGTTCCAGTACAAAGAAGTAGATTGATTAACTCTCGTATAACCAATCTACCACTACCTATTGATGAAGCTCTAACAACCTAATCAGATTCTATCTATCGGGTTGCGGCAGAAATCAAGAAAAGATGATCAGACTTCAATTGACTCAATGAATCATGCATCAATCGATTAAAATCAAACAATATAACAATCCCAAGTCATTACAATCAAGATCCCTAACACATGGAACTAGGGTTCTTCATACCCAAGTGAGATAAAGTTCTACTCCATAGAGAGAGAGAGAGGGAAACAGAATACAAAGCAGTCATACTCATAACAATGGGAAGAATCTGCTCTGGGATGTCAATCTTCACTCCTTGGGATGCAATCTGGGCTTCAATGGTGAGAAATCCACTCCAATTAGCTCCTAGGGTTTGTTCTTCGCACTTTCTCTCTCTAAAACTCTGTTTTGCTCCAAAAAGTCGAGCCCCTCTCGTTTGCCTCGAAATTGGGTTAAACCCAGAAATTCCCGACCACACGGCCAGGCCACACGGTCGTGTGGAAATTTCAGCTGCCCGTGTGGCTCTCAAAACACCGCGTTTCGATTAAGTGACTTCCAGGCATGCTGCACGGCCAGGGACACACGGCCGTGTGGATTTCCAGGCTGCCTGTGTGAGCTTCTTGGACTTTCCACACGGCCACTAGGGGTCCCCTACACGGCCAGTGTGGCTTTCCCGTGCAAAGTGGTGCAACACGGCCAAGTCACACGGCCGTGTGGGATTTTAGGTGTGCCCACGTGGCTTCCTCAGCTTCTCGCCAAACGTCCAATCTTCGTCCAATCGACCCCGAACTCGTTCCCAAACCTTCATTCACGTACTAGGACCTGAAATATCACAAACAAAAACAACCTAGCGTGAAATCGTCCTAAAACACGAGAAATAAGACTCAAACGGTACAAGAATGGTGGACAAAAACATGTATATATATCAAGTCATCACAAGGATAATATCAAATAACTCAAAAGGTAGCAGAAGTAAATATGTTGCTAGAAAGGCTCCTTCCACACAAATAAAGGAACTCCTAATTACAGAATCCACCTTCAAGGTATCTCTCACGGGTGTTTTAACACATAATGTATAACCTAGCTTATCTAGTACTAAACGTAGCATATGTGCAAACATATATGACATGAATGAGTGCGGGGAACCAGTATCGATCAAAGCATATAATTCCCTGCAAAGGATAGAAAGCATATCAGTCACCACTTCTGGTGCTATTTCCATCGCACTTCGAGTCATTCCATAAACCCTCGATGTTCCCTGTGTTGTGGCACCTTGTGTACCCATTCCAGATGTTTGATTCTCACCACCTCGACCACCTTGTGAACTACCTCGACCACCATGATATCTGTTGCGGTCTCCCTGATAACTACTCCTGGTTGGGGTTCTACTAAATTGCATTGAAGGCTTGGACTATGTAGCTCTTCCTCTTCCCATATAAGGACAATCCCTCATGGCGTGCCCAGGCAGGCCACAGTGAAAACATACACCAGAAAACCTCCTACACTCTCTAAGATTCATCTTCTGACAGACTTGACAAAATGGATATTGTGCGGCTGAGGAAACTGGTGCCCAATATGATGTTCCTGGCATAGATTGACTATGTGTTCTCACCACCGTGCTAGGACCCCTCCTTATTGGGTAAAGAGGTCCAAAATACTTTACTCCTAGCTTCCTCTTCTTTTCTTTTTCTTTGGCCTTGTGTTCATGTCGACCCTCAACTTCATAGGCTTCATACTTAAGTGTTGCTTCCTTGATAGTGGCCAAACTTTCTTCATTAACCCTGTGGATATTTTCTTTCATCCCTAGGAACAGACCATGTAAGTGTCTTATCTTCTTCTTATGCTCAGTATCCGCCAACCCATCTTTAAAATAGAGTTGTCGAACAAACGTGATTGTATACTCAGTAACTATCATGTCCCTCTGCTTAAGGTTGGCGAACTCATTATTCTTTGCCCTGATAAAAGCTTCGAGAAGAAATTTTGTCTAAAAAGCATTGAGGAACTCTTCCTAGGTGAATGGAACTCGTTGGCCATTAACTCTTGAGGCTGAGGACAACCAACTCTTGGCGTACCCATTTAGGAGAAAAAAACATATTGTACTTTTTCCTTTGGAGTCGCATAAAGAATTTCAAACACGTCTTCCATCTCCATCAACCACTCTACAACAGCATATGGACTCACATCTCCCTTAAAATCCCTATCACCCAAACTTTTCATCTTTGTATAGTCTAATATTGGTGGTCTGGCATCACCCGCTCCCACTCATCTCCACTGGTTAGTAGAAACATTAGAACAGCTTCCGTGTGAGCTACAAGGAAACATTGCCCCCCCCCCCCCCCATTTTGGGAGAGCTTATTTTTGAGATAGAAATTTCTAATTTAGAGAGAGAAGAGAGAGATAAGATGAAGGAAGGAGAAGAGGATAAGGAGGAGGAGCTAGAAGAGAGGAGCCATCTTCTACAACATCAAGTCTTCCCCAAATTCTTCTATGTATCTTCTTCCCTCCTTTATGGAGTAGTCTCTTAAGTACTAGGGGTTCTAAACCCCAAACCCTAATTTTAGGGCTATCATGTAATGGATGAATATTTTAGGGTTTTGAATGAATGTGTTTGCCTAGCTGATTTTAATGCTTCTCTATCTTTAATTATGCTTAGGTAAGTCGCCCTAATCTTCTCTACTAGCCTACTTGAGCTTATACGCTGGGTAAGGAGTTTTAGAGTTAGATGGGTATGCTTCTTCTGACAGATTAGGGTTAGATGAATGAATCGGATCTTGTGGTGGACGAGGCGATCATACCCCTGCCATAAGAATACCTTCCTAGATGGAACCCATGATGAAACCTCGGTGTGGACGGTAGGTAGTACCTATTGAAAGGAGCTATGTTCTTAAAGACTCAGATACGATAGCCTAGATCGAGGTGACTGACATGAGTTTAGTGGAGGCATACTCAGAGGCATGTGGATAATCACAAAGGCCCACGGAAAAGAGCTCACTCACCGCATTCACTTAACCCAACTTATTTAGACATTGAATGATAGACCTAGGCTAGGGGGAGAGATAGCTCCCCGAAGTACCTGCTTTTATCCTTGTTTATTCTCTCTACTAGTATTTCACTTGAATCCTCCAACACAAACCCCCTTAAATCGACCGGCTAGTTAGCAACAACGTGGGAAGTAGGCAAGGGTAACGGGACCCGAGTGAATACGACCTTGATTGCCACTATATGACAATGCCATTTTAGGTTAAACTTGGCCTAGGATGGGTAGTTATTGAGACGTGCAAACTAATGACGATGACCTGCACGCAATGAATCGATCAAGTTACTTCCCGCTTCTTAGTGTAATAGCATGCACCACCACTCTTGGATCTATGGGGTTAGCCACGGTTTTGGAAGGTAGATCTTCTTCAGGTCTCTCGGTGAGGATCTCGGCAAGGTTGTCAATTTGAGTCTCCAAGTTTTGAAGACTTGTTTGATGACATCTTAAACCCACCTCAACCGAAGTGAAATTATTTGTTGCGACTTCCATGAGCTTCTCAATCTTCTCAAACTTTTGACAACATGTACTCACAAAGGTTGTGATTAGTTCTTCGAGTTTGGAGATCCTATCGGGTTGTTGTTGTTGAAACCCTTGCACACCTTGTGGTTGATATTGTTGTTGCTGAAAATTTGAGGAATGAAATTGTGGCCTTCGAACAAATGGAGGTCTTGGTTGATAACCTTCGATTGGCCCTCGAAAACCGGGTGGCTTTGGAATGGTTGGTCACGACCATACAAAGTTGAGATGATTGCATCACCCCTGATTGTATGTATTGCTAAAGGGGTTGTTATTTGGATTGACCCCCCAACATTGACAATAAAGTTCACTTGTTCTTCCAGAGTACTCACCTCCCTCATGATTTGACATTCTTCAACTTCTTGGTTAGGACTTGAAGAACAATCACAAACCATAACCAAGCTCTTCCATTGCTTCTTATCATGTGAAATCACCTAGATTAACTCATCAATCTTTACCGCAAGTGGAGGATTTGCTTCGATGGAGTACACTCCCCTCTCACGAATCTTACTTCCACGCCTTGTCATCCCTCAATCATAGCCCTTAACGACGATTTCTTCAAACAATATAGTCATCTCGAGTGGAGTATTGTTGCGCATATTCCCTTGCCAAAGAGAATCAATAAGAGTTCAATCTTCTTGGAAGATACCATTGTATAATGTCTCAATCCATAAGTGCTCCCCAAAGCCATGGTGTGGGCATTGGTGAAAGAGATCGGAGTACCTCTCTCACGCATCTCTTAAGGTTTCATCATCCTCTTGGGCAAAGTGAGTGATCTGCTTCCTAAACTCTGCCGTTTTGGAAGACGGGCAATACCGATTCTTGAGTTTGGTTAGCAAATCTCCCCATGATGTAATTGAGAGGGGAGGCCTTTTGTTGAGCTTACTCTAAGCTTTCCCACTAAGGGAGTAGGGGAAAAGTCTAAACCAAAGGGCGTCTTGAGGTACCGCATTGATCTTTAAGCCATCTGTCAACTCGTAAAATCGATTGATATGCTACCCCAGGGATTCATCTTCAAGTCCATTGAATTGGATATTGTTCTAAATCATGGTGATGCGGCTCGTCTTAATTGCAAAGTTATTGGCTGCCACGGGCAAGTGAAGAATGCTCAATTGGATGTCGCCCACCCGTGGAGACATGTATAGCCCATCGTCCTGGCTTCATCACCTCCTTGTTCACCTTTGTTCGCTATCTCAAGGTTTTCAAATTCAACATCTTCTTCGAATTCAACTTCCTTCTCAACTTCAACTTCCTCCTCGGATCATACAACTGCTACACACACTTCACAAAACACAACACAAGCCAAGACAAGCAAGATTCAAACTCAAAATGGGAAAATGAAGTGCTAGATTAATAGTAAACAACTTTTTCCACATAACAGACTGTGTTCCTTGGCAACGACGCCAAAAAAACTTGACTCGCGCTATTATTACAGTTTGATCCCAACTATAGACCAAGTGCAACCTATAGAGGGTGTAGGATAGAGTAAGTATTTTAATATCAACCTGGACGGTCTATCTGCACTTACTTCGATTGTTCACACGTTATCTAGCAATTGGATTGTAGTTAAAGCTAAGAAGAATAAACAAATTAAACAAGCAAGTAAACTTTGGTGAGTTCGGTTGAGAAAGAATCACTCACATATTGTTCCTCTAGTCTCGTGTCAAGATACAACGAGCAAAAGTATGTAATCTAATCTGAATCATATGTCATGGATATTACAATATAAATACTTCATCAGCCATTGCAGGTAGTTCTCTTTATTAGTTTCCATGCTTTCCCGCCTTCCCCCACCATGTGAGATTAAGTTCATCCCGTTACATGTCAAATGATTTTAGGGAGAATGATATGGGGTTGAACAAATATGGATGTCCTTCCACTTGAGTGCAAGGTATCAATCAACATCTAAAAATATACAAAGGACAGCAAGTAGGTTGTCAAACACGGGAAAGCAAACCTGCTTAGCCATTGAGCAGATAGCTCTCTAATCTTTTATCTGATGAAAGTGAAGCCTCCTAATAGGGGAAATTATGCAGAGCAGAAGAAATAATGGAAAACAAGGAGACGATGGCCAGGCCAGGTGGTGTAAAAAGCACCAAGTAAGTAATTTGACATCCAAGGAAGGGGATCTTAAAGCAGCGTAACCTCTGCTTGTGGGCTGTGATGCGAGTCTGTGGCATAATACGCTGGGCTCGCAGGGGATCATGCATTCTAATTACAGAGAATTTCCGGCAGGGATAAGTAAAAAAAAACGGCTACCAGGGCTAGGATGGAAGACTAATGCACCACGGTTACCTTATGCACAAACAGTTTACGGGTTTGTACATGTCAATGATGCAGAACGGAGCTACCAAATTTTTACTGCAACATCTGCAACAACTACGGGTAACTACGACATCAAATAAACAATATAACTGCGAGCCATTAACTTAAACCACTCTGTTTTCCATGCCTCTTACTGTTCATCAATTAATTTCGTGGCAGTCTGCTTTGCAAGTTATGGACATACAAGTTATATCACTTTATCCCACAGTGTACATTTTGAAAGAGAATAGCGTAGAAGAAATGCTCAATTTTCAGATCAGAATACAATGCCTCTAACTAAGAGCATTGGTGCAAACATGGAGAACTCTGAGATTATGAGAAAAAGACTGATGAGATACTAACCGTGAAACTATCTGCGGTAATTCTCAACTTTTGGGTGATTCTACTGCAAGGAGATGGTGGGGTTTGCGTGAAATAGAAGAACTCTTCATATGGGATTCAAACCATTTAAATATGGCATCAGATGGCAAGCTCGTCATTTCATGGAATGCAAAAGCAAGGTTTAGTTCCTCCTGCACATGCTGGAACAAATTCTTGTCCAGCATGATCTGACTTCCTCGGAGAGCTTCTTTCCAGCGTGTAGCACGCCCATCTTTTTTCATGTATCCTTGCTCATTAACAAAACCTTTGTCCTTGAATAGATTAAACAACTTGGCTGAGACAATTGGATCAAGTCCTGGAACTCTGTCAGCTAAGAAATTCTTTGACAAGGGAAGGTCTAAGCATTCAACCTCTGCAACATCGATGCCTTTACTTTTCAGCATCTCCATATATACACTTATCTGTTTCTGTCTGTGCACATCTTTCGGCATATGGACGAAAAGAGTAGGTGGATAGTCCTCCGGGATATCCATCTCACCAAAAACTCCTTCAGCAATCATGATTGTAATACTACTGAACTTCAGATTGGTAGCAAGAGCAGAAACGAAGTACCCACCAGAAGAGGCCCCCAAGGCCACAAGAGGAACTGTGTGAAGCTTATGTTTATGCACCCACCATTCTAGCATATCTTTCACAGTTAACATCTCTTCCCCAAATGTCCAGCACCTTCCTCTGCTTGATATTGTGACAACAGCAAAGTTACGAGCAAGCGCATTTGACACAAGTAGCCTCTCCTCGGGTAAACCGATGCAATTGGCACAGCTGGGAGATTTGTCCCAGAAGTTAAGAGCTCTGCCATTACAACCATGAGCCAGAAATAGGACAGCTTTAGAAGACTGAGGTATCTGCCATATGACCTCGGTTCCGTTTCTGAGTTCAACAGTCGCGTGATATTGATCTGATTCAAAGTCACCCCTGCTCCGTGGTGCAGCTTGAGGAAAAAACAAGATAAGAGGAATTACAACCACAAATAAGGATATGAATAGCAACCTCCGGTTACTGAGTAGCCAGGATCTTCTGGTTCCATGCTTCAACATTCCTGAAACTACAAGAACAACTACTCAGTTCACCATATGATTGCAGATAGGGCACCAATATGATCACCATAAGCTCACACAGGAGCCATTCATTTCTAAATAAGGACCGGATCGAGTACAATGGTATGCTGGTATGTATGAAAGTAGCAAGCTATGCAATATGTGACACCCAAATTCAGCAATAGCAATTTTTAGGAAGCGTGAGCAGTGGAGGGTGCACAAGACCAGTTCCAGGAGAAAACATTGCACAACATCTAAATTTGACCTTCACAACAAAGTGATCACATAAGGAACATATTAGAATTAGATTATGTAGTTCTCTTACATTAAAAGAAATGAAGTATCGGATTATTTAGTTCTGCTACTGATAATGAGGAACTATTTAATCACTTTCACAAAATCATCAAAACCAGATCATGAGAGGAATCAGCTTCAAAGCTGCATGCTTCTAAGATTGACAAATAGGCCAATATGGAAGGGTTTTTGAAAATAGAAGAAAGGGTTTCTAGTCAATAGACATGATTATGCAGACATGAACAATTTAAGCTCTCATTACCACAAAGCTGAGCACAACCCAAGTCCTAAATTAGATTATAATCATGTGTCTATAAAGCTAGGAAATCAAGCGCCATCGTAGATTAAAAAAAATGTATTTCGCATATTCCTCGGTAGACCTAAATGCAGGTTATCCTATGAAATCAGTTACAAACTAAACTATGTCAAATTAGAAATTCAGAGTCATCAACCAGTTAGACAGTGTCCCTAATCAATGAGATTAAAAAAAAAAAACCTAACAAGCAATGACATACATCTGATTAGTTGACAAGTAAGAAGGAACACATTGTGGAAGCTTGAAACAGGATGCAGACAGAGACAGTGAATGAGGGACAATTCGTGGCCATCTCAATAACTTAGAATTTCAATCAGTGGCTACTGCACAGCCTAATGAATCGTATAACAGAATTCAAATCTCAAATTATTCTCACCATTTCAATTCAATCGACTCTAGGAACTAAGAACAGTCGAGTGGTTGAAGAACAACGGAAATCACATGACATATCTTCATATTCTTCGGTGGAGCAATCGCAGTAGCCTTCCAACAAACGTCATCAATTAAAGTTTAGCTGATAGAGAGATTCCATTAACAATTTTGATACTCACCTCCTGATCAAGAAGACGAACAGGTGGCTGACTTGCCTTCAGCCAGGAAGAAAATCGAGCGGAGCCTACTGTTTTTCTATTGTTTTGGGTGAACACTGAACAGACAACAGAGCGTACTGTTCTATAACAGCCGGACTTCCTTATACTTGGAATCCCTAGACTACCCTCCTAATAGCCTAAATCCCTAAAGTATTTACACCTACCTTTATACTTTATAGTAGAATGGAAAGCAACCATTTTTGTCACGTCGGTGAAATGTTGGTCGGTTTAAATTGGTTTAATCAATGTCACTTATAAAATTGGTGTGAACATTATTAGTATGATCGGCATGATCGATTTACGATATTTAAGAAAAATTATATCGTTTTAGCAGTGTTATTAAAGCCGAGCCGAGCCGCTCGGCCCGACCGGTAAAACCGTCACACGGTCACAAAACCGGCTCGGAACAGTCTAAAAGCCGCTCCGATTTTATGTAGCGGTTGGCGAGCGGCCGAGGCTGTTAACCGTTCGAGTCGATCGAGCCGCTCGTCCGGTTTTTGCCATTCAGCCACTAAATTTAATTAAAAAAATTGTAGAAAATTGAAATAAACCAAAAACTTCGGGCTCTCAAATTGAATCCGTATTTCCATTTCACAATTTCGAAGGAAAGAGATGAGCTCTGATTAAGAAATGTCCACTATTTATACTGATAACGTTTATTAGATACCGGTTCTCTAACGGTTTTTAAACGGTCTAATGCTGGTTGGACCACTAAAGTGCGAGCCGTCGTCGGATTGCTAATCCGTTGTACGAGTTGTTCGCATTATCGGGTCATGCTCCGGTTCGGTTCTGACAATATTGCGTTTTAGGAAAAAATTAATTTTGTATTTCTTTTATGAATTTAAGAGTTAAATGTTGATATTATTTGTTGGATTCAAGTATAAATATTTAGATATTGACGTTAAATGTTGTACTTAAATACGAGTACTTCTTATTTTATTTGAAATATAGTATTTTATATAATTATGAATATGAATTGTAAGTAAATTATCTTCAAATATGTTTTCTATATGACACATTCATTTGATATTAATGTTTTTTTCACTGTTCTACATATTTTGTTAAACCGGCACAAACCGGTTGTGATCGAACCATTTCGCTTGCTAAACCGGCAAAATGGTATAAATCGTTTGACACCCTTGGTTGCAATCCTCATTTCAAATTTTGTGCCCAGAAATTGATTCTAGAAATGTCATTTCAAAATTGCGTCCAATATATCTTTATATATTAAAAATTTAATTATTGGGATTTGAATCCTAATCACTTAAATGAAGAAAGAGCACTACAACCAACTAGGCTACATTGAATTTAGTGTAATTTTTTCCTTTTTGTAGAAAGACGGCGTGAAAGCGTCATAGTGAACATTACTAACTGAGCGGGTTTAGGTGATGCCCATTACATCATACATGATCCATCTATTCAGACCTGGATCACCCTCATCGAACGGATATGTACCAAAATCAGCACTATGGCCTTTGTTAGCTAATTAGTCGGCCACAAAATTTCTTTCCCTATGGACATGAGATATGCCAACTCTCCAATCTCTATCGAGAATCTATCTAAATTGATGTGCAAGCAAACCGTGGTGATGACTGTCATCCTTCCTTGATATCCTTCATGATGCGCCAATGGATGTCGTTGAATCGAGCTTCAGTTGAACTTTTTTGTGACCCTTATCCCAAATGATCTTGAGTCCCTTGACCACCCCTTTCAACTCAGCTGTTGTGATCGAGCAGCTTCCAAGGTTGCGGACATAAACATTGATGCATCTCCCAAGACTGTCCCTGGTTAAACCGCCTGTAACTTATCACATTCATCCGTGCAGGTTATTGTTAGTGGTTAGCATGTGTCAACTACTACCCCATCCTATGCCAAGTTTAACCTAAGATGGCATTGTCTTAAGTGAGAATCAAGGTCGTACAAAGGTTGGGAGGGATAGGTAAACTCCACACCCGATGCCATAAATCTCTATCAAGCAAGGAGGCTGAGGCAACGTGCACCCTCAGAGCTGCAGTATTGGATGAAACTTCAAGGTGATAACCTGACTTCACCGAATACACCCCAAAGGCTCCCAATGCCAAACCAGCCAATTCTCTAATGGCATACAAGACAATGGAATCCCCAAGATAGAATCAAGTGTAGTTGGAGAAACAACTGCCTCAGACGATCTTCACGTCACACCTTATGATCATGATAAATCAAAGAAGCCAGCAACTCCTGAATTGGGTTTGCACCAGGGAGGAAAGTTGGGGCGCCAAAAATAACTTTGGGAACCAAGCCGCGGACTCGATCTCAATGGAATGCCCAAAACCAACTTGCCATCGTAATCCTTTGATAAGCAACTCGCGGCCATGTAAGACACTACGTCAGCCCCAAGACGGTGAGGCACCTTGACGGGCGTGAAGAAAACCTGAACGAGGAAAGTACATTCCTCTATAGATACGAGCCAACATCGAATGTGGATCCTACAAAATACTCCAACCTATTTTGGCCAACAGATCTGATTAAAAGCCGCAAATCCGCGAAAACCAAGCCCACCTTCCTCCTTACTCTTACACATCGCTCTCCACGACACCCAATGAACTCGACGGTACAAAGATGTTACTTTTTAAAATATAATATAATAGCCAAACCTTTGCTTTTAAACAAAATAATAGCCAAACCTTTTAAAAAATAAAATATTAGCCAAATCGTTAACTTTTCATCAAGTTAAATGTTAATTGACTCAGATATGATAGAAACTTTAAGGAGATGAAAATCTTTTGATGATGTGACAAGAAGTCAAATGTTTGACCATGCCACATGATTAATTATTAATGTTAACCAAACAATATATTATTTCAATAAAAATAAACTAAAGCTTGAGAATGGCGAGGCTAGAGAGTTGGCCGATCGATGATGAGATTTCGCCGATGAGCTTGTTAGTCGACAGAAAAATCTAGTTGAGATTTGTGCAGCTACTAATGCTACGAGGGATGGTCTTTGAGAGTTCTTTTAATACTCCATTCCAATTATAGGAGCATAGAGCACCCAAGATTTGACACTCTAATTCATGCGAGCTTAGATCTAGAGACTCCAAATTGGGCATTTCAGAGAAGGTATCGGATAACCCACCAACGAAATTGTTGAAATACAAATCAATCTTCTTCAAACTAAATCGAGTGTAACAAGACCTTGACAAGCTGAATCGACGAGCATGTCCCTCCATGGAAAGCGTTTCCGACGAGGGAAATGAACTTGAAGCACGACCTAATTGTAGCGGCAAGATCGTCAAAGTACTTGTTGTTGGAGATGTAGAGGTGTTCCAAAACATATCTATCTCTGAGGGAAGGAAGCTCGCTGCCAGAAAATGTGGTGAATGGATGGAAGGAAGCCCTCAGCTTGAAGGTGTGAAGATTGGAGTCAGTGTTGGAGTGGCGGTTTTTGTGGCTGCGCTGGGGGGAGTGGTGTCGGCGTCGTCGTGGTGGAGGAAGGAGGTGGCGGCGGATCCCAAATGGACGGGGGCTCTGAAGAGTCTAACGTCTCATCAAAAACTTCTCTCTCTAAAAATTTTCTTTGCCTTCTCTCTACAACTTCTTCCAGACAGTTGAGGGGGCTCCTGCCGGCGCCTCTCCGGCGATCGCCGGTAGCCCTCCGCCCCCGTCCCTTTTGATTTTCTGCTTTTCTTTCTTCTCATCTCCCTCTTGGTTGACTTTTTGCCTCACTTTTCTTATGTTCCTTGCTTGTTTTTTGTAGATCTGCGTCTTTTCTCTTCTCTTTTGCCGGTTACCAGTCATTGATTGGCTTCGTTCCTCTGTTAGGTGGTTGCTTGCCCTCCGTTTGGTCTCCTTCCTCCCCCTTTTTGGGGTTGAACTTTTGCCCTCTAATTTGTTTTTCAGATCTGGAGATGTTTCTGATCTAAGAGCAAAGGAGGCTGGATCTTTCTAAGATTTGGTTGGTTGATCTAATTATGTGATAACATATTTCAAATGAAAGTGCAATGCTTTTAGATTTATATGTTGCGTGTGATAGTTTATCAATTTTAGTACGAGGTTATATTATCGATAAAAAAAATTGGATGTTTAATTGATGATGCAACTTGATGAATGGATCTATATGAATGATATGAGCTAGTTGGATGTATAAATAAGTATTGTTCGAGTATACAATGAAATGGATAATTAATGATGTTTTGGTTTGATGGTTTACTAATGTATGAGAAACTAATATTGATAAATGTTAAATGTGGATATAGAATTTTATCTAAGATGAATTGATTTGATTGTTTAATTTTTTTTATAAGGATTGTTTAATTATTTGATCTTTTATCTCATAGTTTTTGCCATATAGGTGGGAGTGAACAACTCGCTAAGCTTAGTATTTTTTTTTACAAAACGCTAAGCTTAGCGAGTGCTAAGTGATCAGGATTTGTAAACATAAATCTTCTTTCCTTTATCATGAGGTAGAGAAAATATTGATTCTGCATTGGTCATTAGGGATTTACAGGTATACATTTTGAAAAATGAATTATGGTTAAGATTAGATGAGCATGATTTAGTTACAGTTGTTAACAATGTTCAACAAGATGCTAGGCGCTATCTAGGCGAGGAAGCACTGCCCAACGCCCAGGCCGATTAGTCGTTGCCTAGACGAGATTAAACGTTGAAAAAAATATGATAGATAAGCCATATTTCACAATAACCCAAGTCGCTATATCATTATTCATCCATTCATATACACATACAACCCTTTTCCACAATCCCAAACATCCCAAGTCGCCAACCATGAGGAGGGATCTCGCTGCTCATCGATGAGGGGGAGCGACTGGTCGAATGAAAATGGGAAATAGAATAGGGTTTGGGATTTTCACAAAAAGGATACACTTTCCTCCCTTTATTAGTTGTTTTGGGCGTCGCCCACTAGAGTGAAAACGCGTCTTCGAGTGCCTAGGTGCCAATATGGCATTTTTCATGGAGATTAATCGTTTCGCACGCCTAGATCAATCGCCTAGAGCTAGACGGAGCGATTTTCTCCTATCCAGCTATTAATCGCACCTAGACAAGAGATTAATCGCGTCTTCTTGAACACTGCTTGTTAATCGTATAAGATGAATGTTTGAATTGTAAAAGATGTTTTACTATCTGTAACACCAATTGATTTTCA